ACTTCCCTTCTCAACACATGGAAGGAAATAATGAACAAAGTGATGAGACCTTCCTATGGCACCTTTAGTTACATATACCTGAGGAAGAGAGGTCAGAAGGTCAGGATAGTGAATATAATGGGTAGAACAAGAATTCTTATGAAAATGAGACTGTACTGTACAAAAATCCTGTACAATTATTTCTTCAACATTTCAGAAATACCCTTTCTGGAATAGTGTAAATAAACTTACTTACTTTGCTATAGATTTAATCTTTCCTTGAGCCAATATACTGCTTTGTATATTATTCCATCAAAAATATAATTTCTTTTCACCAGCTGCAATTACATCATTGTTTCATTAGAATAAGCTGGGGAAAAAAAAAAAAAAAAAAAAAGAAAAAAAAAAAGCTGCATTTAAAAATAAAAATACTGAGTTTGAATTTAAAGTAATTTTATTTGCTGAAATTGTCTTATTAGGCAAACAATGTTTATTTGGTGATTTTTAAATTTTTTTTAAGAATGAAAAGTCATGGTTAATAGCATATAATTTATTTTAGCCATAATATACATGGGAAAATGTCATGTAGTAAGCTGAGACCCTTTAAAAAGTGTTCAGTGCAACATCATTTAATGTCAAGATAGCATGACTGATCTCACAGAATGGGTTTTTAAGAACATAGTATGTTTGTAGTAAAATACAGCCCCTACAGTGACAATGTTTTTCCTATTTTATTCTTTACTATGTATTCAAAAACATATTGTTCATATATGTTCATAAACATTGTTTTACTTAGTCTAAAGGCCAGTCTTAACTCTGCTACTATGAAATGCAAGTTCTTCATAATTTCATAATGTCAAGACCATGTAAATATACTACTTCTGTGTCAGATCTGACACTTGAAACACATAACTGGGTCTGGAAAGGTGGATGGCTCCATGACATGCACCAATCTGCCTAATTCCAGGCATAAAAACATTGAAAAGTCTCTGTTAAAATGATGGGAAGCAAAAGCAGTGGTTCATCAATACTCTGTGAAGCTTTCTGAATTCCCTCTCCTCCATTACTTTTATATTTTAGGGCTTCAATAAACTTGCTTCAGGTTTATTCCAAAATAGCCAAAATGAGAGATTGAGGTTGAAATAATACCTATTACCTGCTTTGATTATTGTTAACCTGTGGGGAAGAGCTTGATTCAGAAAGAGCTTCAGACATCTAGTACCATTTCAAGTGCTTCAGACCAAAAATTGGAACCTCTCTACTCTTAAGTGTTTCTGTGGAAACATCGCTTTTCTCACACTTGCCAGGTACAGTTTCAGCAGGAACTTACTTCTGTGTTGATTAGACCTACTCTGTTCCTCTGGGGTTAACAGTGCCAGGCACAGTTCCTGTTCAGTAACTAACATCATTTATGCATGGCAGTATGAGATTGCATTTGAAATATGGATTGGTGACATCTCCATCTCCAAAAGAGCAAATACCTTTCCTTTGCATTGCATTAAAAAAAAAACCACAAAGATAGCCTGAGGTATCTTTTATTAGCTACAATTTTTACTGAAAAAAAAAAGAGAAAGGAAAAACATCTTGTCTCTAAAAATAAAAGCCAGTTTCTGATCACTGGGAATTATTTATTTGATTATTTATTTATTTATTCAGAGGGCAAATTATTTGAAACAACTACTTGTCACTGTTGCAGGCACTTGCCTTTTGGGTAGTCTTTGTCTGCCAACATAATGTGGATGTTTGGACAGAATCTGTGTATCACTTCCCACATTGTACCCATAGACTGCTTTTCAAGGCTTTTACTGTCTTTGACCAAACTCTACAGAAATGTGGGTTATGGTACATCTTCAAAGTCTGACCTCCGATGTCCTTCAGATATGGGATTGGAGTGGACTGTTGGTCAAGGCATCCAAGACCCTCTGCATGGAAACCAGGAGAGAGTAAATACAGGAGGGACCATGAGAACACCTGGAGTCTCACACTTAATATGAAGACAGGACGACTAGACTACCAGCACCTGCTTCTAAAGAGAAGGGATAGTATAATAAAGACCATATTTACAGTTCTTGTCAGTATAGGGGCCCACATTTTCTTTGAAATAAAAGGGGGGAAGAAAGGGGAATCTACACATTAAAACTGGTTTCTATTGCATTTAATGAATGACTATTGGTCTCATTCAGGATGATGGTTCCATATGCCCCCTTTATTTACTATGGCATCCATGAATTTTGGTCTACAAGAGGAGTTTTTGTTGGGAAGTGAAGAAGGCAAGGAAAGGACTAGGAGTCTTTCAAACTCGAGTTTCTTTCTCTCTGCTGATCCCCACTGGAGAGTGCAGAACACTGCTGTATAAGATAGAGTGATGTGACAAAGTATTTGGCAAATGGACAAGCACAACAGTGACTGAGTTACCGGGAATTACTTCCCAAATTTCCTGCCACTGATCATCACTTATAAAACATACTAGTATGTATCATTAAGCATTTTTCTTCAGACAACTTCCTCCTGTGCAAAAAAAAAATAAATCAAGAATGACACAGCCCACAATGCTACACTCAAAGACTCCAGAGAAACACTAAAATTTAGCTACTAGCTCCTTTTCTGCACAGAAGCAAAGTCTTCTCTCTCTTTTCTAACCAATACATAGTCCTGGAATTTAGAATGAGAAATCTTTTCTTGGAAATGCTGCTCATGCTGTGGCGTTTCATGCCTCCTCCATTGTAAATAAATGTTTCAGGGTTGTTTGTTTGTTTGTTTTCTCCCCTCAGATTAAATATTTTAAAGCAATCTTGTGTTTTAAAAACCAGGAAGGAGACATTTTTCTATTGCTTAACATTCTGAGACAAAATCATGTCTGTTGTCTGCTCTGAAAGCTGAAACCCCTTGTTACACAAGATCCTTGCTGTGTCTTTCCAGAATGGTGAACAGAAATAACTTTGCAGCTTCCATGCACTGGTTAGATGCACTTTCCACACTAGGAGGGTTGATCAGTTGGGACAGTTTGCATAATTACACAGATGTTTAGCACTGAGTGAATGGAGCAGTTACTATGTCCAAGGTTGGAGGCATTCTGTGACAATATGCTATTTCTGATGGTGTGAGTTACTCTTGAGTAGCTTCATACTTGAGAGATTCATAGTATTCTCTCTGCCGACTTCCATGGCAGTGCAATTTATGCTAATGACTGGACAACGGGCATTTTGGGGAGGTTCTTTATCTGGGTCACATGCATCCTAAGTGGGTGCTCTTCAAGACAGCGTTACCAAGGACATGTACCTCTTGTTTCCTTCTGTTGGCTACTTTTTAGCTTTCAGCTTATTGCAAGCATTTAGAGTTTCCAAATTCTTTCTCTAAGTCACCTTTTTCTCCTTGTCTTGTTGGACACAAAGAACCTCTTCCTAAGCTCTACTTTCTTTGATGTCTAACACCTTCACTCCAAATTTATTTCCTTTTCTTCCCTTCCAAGTCTCTACATATTGTTGTCTCTTTGCTTTTTTTCTCTAGCTGCCCAAATTGAATCTGTATGATCCAGTTTGACTTCTTTTGCATTTTTCAGTGAATTTGTCTACTCTCTAAGCCCCTCCACCTTTTCCTCTGCTCTAGGAATCAACTCCATTCAATACATGTGTGTCCTGCATGAGCTTCATCCCTACCCAGGAGCACTGCATATACCGCACTCTGGATTGTCCTAAAAACCTTGGTAGCCAGACTGCAAAGCTCTTGTTGGTCTTCCTTTCAGTAAGGTTCTAATTTGTAAATGAAAAGACTTCTCTGCACTGAGCACCACTTATTTTACTGTTTGTGGTTCACTCTCAGATTCACTAAACTTCTTCCTCAGCTATTTATGCAATATACACTGCCTCTGGAGAACTACTACAACTGCATCCAAAGTTTAGCCTCACTTTGTGTGTACTCAGGTTATTTCTCTTTTACAGGTTTGTTTTCTTCAAGGTACCTTTTGCTATCTAGACCAGGTTAATGGACAAGCCATAAAGAAATAATTCATTCTGTAATGTTAGCAGCGTTAAAATTTATCAGCTTCTCCATAGAAGCCTCTTAAATGCCCATAATGCAGCTCATAATATGTAGAATGGGATATCACAGTGTCTTTGAGAAGAAATCTGTAAACAGGTTTCCGAAATTTTATTAAAGCTTTTAAATAGGTATATCAACACCTAGCATGAGAATTTGTACAATTAGGGTGAATTTCACCTCTGGGAAGAGAGCCAACATAAGACCTCTTCAATGCTCACATCCCAGTCAAGTGCTCAGAGAGTAAACAATGACCAGGTCTTATCCTGGCATCCTATCCAGGGATTAATTACATCCTCAAGTATTAAACTGTTTCGCTATGTGAATTCTTCATCCAAGTGCAAGGTAGGTTATTTAAAACATTTCTAGCACTGCACTGGGCTCTAGGATTGGAGTTGATTTCACTTTACTTTATGTCTGCATCTCAGCAAGTCATCCAGCCTCCTTTCATTGCTAATGGAGAGAGGAAGGCCCATTCACAACACGAACTGTGAGCCCACTCCAATTTTATCCAAGCAATCAGCTACACTGGTGCTTGCAGAGGAACAAGTCAAGTGTTACAGGGTGGAGGATCAGAGAAAATTATGAAGTTAGGACTGAGAAAATGGCCACTTGTTTCTCACTAATCCTTTACTGAAATGTTTCCCTTTAACTGTTTAGCCAAGCATTTTGGTCTAACTCCAAAAAATATCAAAGACAAGATGTTAACATGTTATTAATTCTGTAGAATTTTTAGCTTCTCATACATTAAAATAATTCTCATACAATAAAATTGTGAGCACCTTTCCTGCATAGCCCTGTTTACTTTAGCACAGGTCTGGGGTTTTATGCAGTTATTCCACCCCTTCCATGGCTGCTTTGCACTATGTCCCACCACTGCCATGATAGCACCCATGTGCATGGCCCTTTGCACAGCAGCTGTCACAGAAAGCTGAGCACACAATCACTTCTTTCTGTTTGCTCCTGTTGTTGTCGTGATTTATTAGGTACAAAGGCAGGAGACTGGCCCCGCACAAGTCGGAAATAGAGTGTTTCACCCCAAAAGGGAGTATGGGGAATGGTGGGAGAGCTACAATGACCAGGTAAGCAAACAGCAAGTGGCCTTAGGGCAGTGTGATATGTCTGTGACCAAGAGGAGCAGCCCTGGACTATACCAGGCTAGATCCTCTGTCTGTAATCCCTGTGCATCCCACACAGTATGTTTAGAAAAGAAAAAGAAAAGAGAAAACACGTGGCCACTGCTGATTTCTATGTTCCATCTGACTGTCAAAAAAACCCTGCACATGTTCATTTGAGTGATCCAAACCATGTGTCCTGTGTGATGTTGTCATAAGATGGTGCTTTAGGGAGGAGAGATCTTAACCCTGACTCATTAAGCCAATAGAGCAGATGAAGAAGTACAGTATTAAAACTTGGAGTAAGCAGCTTCAAGACTCCTCTGGAATGGTGGTCCCATTGCATCTTAGGGGTTACATTAGGTCTAATCAAAAGAGTTTTTAAAAAGATAATCTAAAAACTGAATGATGAAAACATTTTCAGTATGAAAATGTTGGTTCTTCTGAATCAAAGTATCTTGTAGGAAAGTTTTACAGTTGTTTTACAGAAAGGTTTCAAAGCCATTTTAAACAGAGTTCAGACCATATTTTTTATAACATTTTCCATTTAATTTAAATTATAGATTTCTTTTCAATTTTGTTCTGGTCATTATATATTTCATGACATTCCACACCAATATTACAATTTTAATCAATATCAAATACTGCAATTTTTCAGTGTTACTGGTACAAACTGTTTCAATATGACCATTTTGATGGTTTTGTATCTATTTAATTCTCTGAAATAGTTGGAGATTTCAGTTATTCCTTTCATTTTGAGCCCAGTCAGATTTCCAAATGTTCAGCTCTCCCATAGGACATAAAATCCATTTCTCCACACATCTTCATTAATAAATCAATAAGCTGCATATGTCACAGATGGTTATAAATCTTTCATGCAATAATATTCTAAATAAGCATTATATTATTGTGCTACATTCTACTATGAGGTTGAAGCACTTTGTTTACCATTTATTAAAGGATCTACTAATTTCTTACCCCTGTAAGGTATTTATAAACGTAACCTCAGAGCACAGTATGACAAAATTGTGCTTTTTCTAAGTGTTAAATCAAAGGTGAATTTTATAATTGCAGGAGGGCATTTTGTGAAACACTTGCACAGTGTTATGTTCCCCTTAGATACAACAATATTCACTCATATATGTAAGGCTACCAACTAACATAGCCACATAACACACACCTGGGGGACTCCTCCTGTTAAAGTAACACAAGGAACATTCATTTCTGAGCATTGTACAAAATGTATACACACCAGTTAGTGTTTGTCAGCTGGGATTCTGTTTCTTGTCAGTGTATTGTCTGGATTCTTTAATTTATTTTTTTTTCTGACCTTGCATTGTCTTCAGCAACATTTATTCTTAATTTAAAGGTATCAGGAGTCACTACATTTACAAAAAAAATTAAAGTACATGTAAATGTCAAACAACTGTATATTGTTGTACAGTTTTCAGCTCTGTTTTGCCTGGCCATATACATACATTTGAAAAACTTCTTTTTTATATTTTATATCTTCACAGTGAAGAATCTGTTTGCATTCCAGACTGTAATCGATCTGAGTCAAGTAGAGAGGAGAAAAAGGTTCCTGTTAAAGAGGATGCCCTAACAGTCAAAAAGACTGGAAACTGTGTCAGTCTCACAGTTCCACAGCAAGACTGTCAGCTGCAAGACCTACTCAAACAGTTAAGAAAACCTGCTGCTTAACAGAGAGTGCAATTGCATTTGATGGCTGTGTTTTGTTGTCTTCAGCCACAGTGTCCTGGCTAGTGGTCCTTGTCAAATTTCATGACCTGAGTAGAGTTGCCACTGAATAGCTTGGGAACCTTACAGAGAGAATGGTGATATTGCAGAAAGGAAAGTATGTGCAATTATTCTGTTTCAGTAAGTAACAGATGACAGAGTCATCAGGGTTGGAAGGGACTTTGAAGATCATCTAGTGTAACCCCCTCACTAGAGCAGGATAACCCACAGTAGATCACACAGGAACAAATCCAGATGGGTTTTGAACATCTCTAGAGAAAGAGACTCTACAACCTCTCTGGGAAGCCTGTTCTCTGTGCTCTGTGAATCTCACACTAAAAGTGAGACTGGTGCTAGAAGTGACTAGGGTGAAGTGCAGTTGGAAGGGGGCAGATGCAGGGGTCTGAAAAAAATCTTATCTTGTCATGTGATAAAAAGGTTCCATGATACTGAACAAATCCCACTGACATCCTTTCAGTCTACAATATGCTATGAAATTTCATACTGGGCTGTATTGTTTAGCTTATTTTCTCAGATCCCTTGTGCATTATTACTTTTATGTTCCAACCCTTGTGTGGGTATTTTTCACATCAGGGTGAATCTTTGTATATTAGTCTAACAAATGGCTTAGCATTTTTCAAGATGAAAAGTGACATAACAGTATTGTTCCTGATTAGAGAAGTTACTACAACCTTCATCACCTGTGAGAATCATTCATATATATCTGATAAAATCAACTATGGAATGAGATGGTTTATGAGGATTCCACACAGCAAGCATAAAAAATTTTCTCTTTTCTTTTCTTTTCTTTTCTTTTCTTTTCTTTTCTTTTCTTTTCTTTTCTTTTCTTTTCTTTTCTTTTCTTTTCTTTTCTTTTCTTTTCTTTTCTTTTCTTTTCTTTTCTCTTTTCTTTTTTCTTCTCTTCTCTTCTCTTTTCACTTTTATTTTTACTTTTATTTTCTTTCTTAGTTTCAATTTAATTATTTTAGTAAATTATTAATGAAAAAAGATGAAAAAATTACTAAGCAATGTAGAAAGCATCCTAAACCTTGGTGCTTCAGGAAGCAGAACTCATAGTTCAAGAGGTGGCGTTGTCCTCTCTCCACATTCTGGAGAGGATGCTCCAATGTAATGGAGATGTGCTCAGAGAGGCTTGAGGTGACATTTTTCAGGTGAGAAACAAAACCCAGCACTAGCTGCCTTAACTAACAATTGCAGTGAGTTCACAGTAACAGAGGAAAGAAGTTACATCTGGCATCAAAATAAGTTTTGCATTTTGAGTCATGATCATAGGTGTCCTGGAAATGTTTCATTCAGATACCAGACACTTCATTTCCGGTTCTAGCCAGGGATGCTGCCGAGACAGCTGCCAGCACTAGTGCCACTGGTGCCTGTGCTGAGGTTGTTGGCAAAGTTTCTGTCTATCAGCTCTCTGTAATTTCTTTCATCCTTGCACATTCACATAAACAGCAGCTCTGATTACATATTACAGTTTGTAGAGTAACATCAATAAATGTCCTTGCAGTTGTTACCAGAAAACAACTCTTTTTTGCTAGCCAAATAATTGCAAAATATGTTGTGTACTTCTAGGACTCAGGACAGGAAAAGATGAATTTTTGTCCTGTATCATTCTTGTGTTTTTCTTTGTTGCTTATCTCCATAGAACAAGCAACACTGGAATAATTTCAGTTAAATTACTTGAGTGGCATATCGCTAGCAGCCTATTTCACAGTATCACAGTGTCATTCTTGTTGGAAAAGACTTTCAAGATCCTTGAGTCCAACCACTACCATAACTCTGCAGCGTCCACCACTAACCCCTGTCCTCTGGCACCACATCTGTCTTCTTAGATGTCTACAGGGATGGCGGCTCAACTGCCTCCTCAGACAGCCTGGATCACCCGCTTCAACTCCTATCCTAGAACAGGAAAAGCCCGAAGTTCACACCATGTCCCTGAAGGCATTGTCCAAATGTTTCTTGAATATTGTCAGATTCTGTGTCATTACTGCTTCCTTGGGGAGCCTATTCCAGTGGTCCACCACCCTCTAGGTGAAGAATCATTTCCTCATGTCCAAGCTAAACTTCCCTCTGCACACCTTCCTACCATTCTCTCAGGTCCTATCATTGGTCATCAGAGAGAAGAGGTCAATGCCTACTCCTCCTCCTTCCCTATTTGTATGTGGCAGAATTGGCTTTCACCCAGGGAAACAAATTCCACAGGCATCTAGAGGTTTCCTTAAAAGCTGTTTAAAATGAGAGAAATAGCAACAACATAAACAATTACAGGGGTAGAACTGACCTAGTTTAGACACTTCAAGGTGCTACATTCCATTTTAGCCAGTCCTCCAGGTTGTCCTACAGTCACAGGAGAAACTATGACTTCTTCATATAAATGTACTGGAGTTTGCCACTTCAATGATTTCTTTCAGTGTTTTTATCATGTTGCAAGGCACTTGCATTCTCACAACGATCAACAACTTGGGTCATTAGAACCAAAACACATATTGATCTGAGATTGGCTCAAGCAATGGTGCTAGAGAAACAAACTACACATGAGCCCACGCTTGAATACATCACAGGCACATACACAGATCACCCCCTAAGAAGAGTCATTTTGTAATTAAATCTACAGAGAGCATACAAATCCTCTTCAGGCACAGTAATTATATCATTAAGGCTTTAATAAGGTTTCAGCAGAAGACTCTTTAAATACAACAGCTTCTTACTATTTATTTTTAATAACGAGTTCTCCTTGGCAGAAACTGGTATGGACTGAGTTGAACACAGAAGTTTATCTTGTTTAACATTGCCAGCTGCTTCTATGGATAAGACAGAGGGATTTTTCCCTTAAAGGCAGAAGACTGTCCTTAAGAAACAGGCCTGGTATGCACAGTGTTGGAGGAATAACTGAACTACATCAGCTTCTTAAAAAAAAAAAGATATTGCTTCAAGTTTGAATGCAACACTTACTTCAGCCATTGGAAATTCTAAGCATAACTTTGCCACCAAATTTAGCTCAAAAAAATACTGACTAGTGTTTGGAAATATGACCTTTCATGATGGACTTACAAATTAAATAAGTTTAACTTATTTCTTATAATACTCATATGAGGACAGGTTGCCAACATAGCACACAGGTCTCCATGATGTTATTGTTCAGCATCTGTTTTCATTTGGAACCGGAAAATAGAGATTAATAAAAAAATGTAAGGGAATTTTTGTTCTCTATCACAAAAAAAATGTCAATATCTGATTACAGATTATTTTTTTTAAACAACAAAAAAAACCAAACAACAAAAAAAGAAAACAACAAAAAAAACCAACCAAATATGTGTAAGGGGAAAGGAACATTTTTCTTCACACCTAAGTGGATAAAAACCAATTAATATCCCATGTGATTACAGAACAAAGCCTTAAAGACAAAATTGAAGCACCTCTAAAAGAATTAAGTAATGGCAGAAAATGAGAATCAATACTAATCACTATTCTGCCAGCAAATGAACAGCTGTAGGGGAAATATTTGAAGTATCAGACTTCAAAAGCTCTGTCTTTTATGCCACTTTCATTTCTTCTACTTATTGCATCATGGTAGGTCTAGCAGGTTGGGAAAGAGATCAGCTATCAAAATGAAAACAGCTTTTAGGAAAGAGACTAGCGAAACAATTAATATGACTAGTTCTGAGGAAATCCCTCTCACAAATAAAACTGAATATAACTAATTTATAATGACAGAAAACAAAACAAAAAAAAGTGCCACAAGAAAAAAAAAGTTATTTTGCTAATAATTTATTTTGGAAATTTTGTCACTGATGGACTGGACTTTGTTTTTATCCGAATATGACTTGTACTCTGGTCTACTCAGTAATGTGCCAACGGAAGAACAGAGTGGGGGAGAAAAATATGTATTCACCAAACTTCTCAGTGGAATCGCTTTGGGAGCTTAAAATGTAATTCTGCTGCTCTCATGGGAAGGAGATAAAATCTGTTCACAAAAAAACTCTAAAATTTCACTGACCTAATGTTTCATCGTTAAAGGGTCATGCCAGAGCTGGGCACAATAAATATAAATAATTCCATTAGCAGACTAGACTCCATTAGAGTCCATGGCTCTGATTTATCTTGTCTGCATTTCAGTGGTTTCCAGTTAACTTGACAGACTAGCAATATGCAGTTAGAGTAGAATCATAAAGAACTGTCACTGGAAATTTACCCATAATCCAGCTTCATACCCACATATGAAAAGAAGTGCTGCTTTCACGGAGGTGGCAAATAAATCACCATAGAATCATAGAACTACTCAGGTTGGAAATGACCCTTGGGATCACCGAGTCCAACCATCACATAGCTCAGTCCAGTGGTGACTTTGTAGTCTGTAGATGCAGCATGATAAAGTGGATGGTACATTTCTGGGATAACAATTCCAGTTATTTCTGGACAAACTACTAGGATTTTAACTAGGATCATAAGGTTCACTCCTTACTGATAGATTGCTGCAAGCTTCGTATTCAATTTTTTATATCAAGGAATTTGCTTTGAATAATAGTGAAGTTCTTCAGGCTTTTGCACAAAATTTACATCACACAGCTACTGGGTCACATTTTGAGCCCCAGCATCTTCATGAGAGCCACACATACAGCTTGATTACTCTTGGTCATAGCACAAAGGCAGAGAACGAGTGCACCAGCCAAGACTGACCCAAAACCAAACATGGATTCAGAGGGGCTTGTGACAGCTACTCCATTGAAGATTTAACTGTCAGTTACCCTTGCCTAAGGCTGGAAACATCCTCAAATTCCTCCTTTTCCTTTCTCCAGACTTGTCAGCCTCATATCCTTCCTCAATAATTGTGTCCTGAACGGTGACCAGGGAGGGAGTGACATGTTCCCTTCAAAACCTCTTACATCTGACCTTTAGTCTGCTGAAAATGTCTATGTGTACTTTAGTGCTCATGGCACTTAATGCCATAGGGTTTGAACATCTGTATTATGCAAGTGCCTGAGGTCAGGGGGATGCTAGAGTTTACCTCTTTCTTCAGGCAAATGTTTCTATTTGCATTAGCTAGTCCTTCATGTAAATGGCATTTATTTTGCCTCCGTGGCAGACAGGTCTCTCAGATCGCTCTGAGCTCTGAACTTCACAGGAGTTAAGAGACCTCACCAGATAGGACACCTAAAACTGGAACTGGGCCATCTCCTTCTGCCACATCAAGGTTAAAAGTATCAGGTTATCCAGCCTCCTGCTTCAGCTCAAACTCAGCTGGAGCTGGGACAAGGTCTCATGGTCATCATACCAGACCTAGAAGCAAGATCCCCCTCTCCCAGAGAATCCAAACTCTGCACCTGCTTCTGGCACTGAGCTCCCACTGAGCCCAGGACTCACCATGACCAAAGGGCCAAGCACTTGTTCCAATGAGAGGAGCACGCAATCCTCAGAGGCAACAGATGTTAGCACCAGCTTCTGTTTCACTCAGAAGCACATCCACTGAGATGCAAACAGTCAAAGTGATCAGTGCTACAGGCTAGATTTTGCTTTTTCTACTTGCTCTGGTTGAGGCAGAGGAAAAGGAAGGGTTTGTCTGAACAGCAAGTTACAAGCCACCATCTGTTCTGCCTGGCATTTTGGGGGTAGGTACATAACATCTAACTTCAAAGATCCAGATAACAACCTGGTGATCACTGGAGCAAATGGGTGAGCCCTCATATATTTATACAGATCATCTCCCAGTCTAGCCTCTTTTAAAATACCCACTGGTTTACATTGTGTTCATCTGCTGGATTCTGTCATGCTGCTTCTGAGGGGGAAACCTGTTGGCATATGTTGTGTTACATGATCCATTGTAATCCCATGTAATGTGTTCGTGGACATGAACCCACGAGAAGGTTTCGTTTACACTTAGCACACAATTATTTATTTTATTTTTTTTTAGATGACTGGAAGAGCTATTAAACTTGCATGGCAAGCCTCCACGTGAAGGCTGGCACAAATTCATCTATGTGTAGTAAACTATGTGTCTTGCAAACTGCTATGCTGCAGGCTAACGTGTGAGTGTATCTATTTCAGGCTTAAAAAGCAAACAAATTTGTGATACTCTGTTAGGGTCTCTAATGTGCTTGTCTTTCCAAAAATCCTTAATGGATGTAGTAAATTTTTTGGAAACCAGAGTGAATTGTTTCAAGTTCTGTTGCATTTTTTATATATGTGTGTGGAGACTGTTTTTCCTGTTGACATTATTTCAGAGTCATTGTGTGTTGCAGTTAAGAAATATTTCTAATGGTCTTTCTTAATCCCAAGAACTATAGGTTAATGGATGTATAAATACCAGCTCATCAGCCTAAGGAAGATGTAAAAGGGAAGAAGTGGTTTCATGCTATGTGTTTTTAAGTGCCACAGCTGGCTTTTCTTAGGTAGGAAGAGGAGAAAAGTACCTTTAATAAAGAGAAGGGTACAATGGGGGCTGAAGAGAAATTACCTTAAGTGGACTCATTTTTCAGGAGCTATGGAACAAAATTTTCATTGCTGTCTCCAAACTCAGGTCACAATGAGGACTTGCTTGTATAGCTTACCTGTTATTTCTTTCCTGCTAGTAATTTAGTTTTATTCTCTGAGCTGACCTGCAACTAAAAACAATATTTTCTGTGAGTTAGTGGTGGCTAGCATACCAAGTATCAGAAGAGGTCACTCAGCAGAAGCATCTCTCCACCCATAAGAGACATAGCCTCTTTCTGAATATTGCTCCAGTACTTCCAAGTACTGGGATATGAAGATATTTTTTCCTCAGCTCATGTTTCTCCATCTCCCAGACTTCTCTCCCTGACCCATACCAGCAATCTGTGGCCAGCACCCTACACCAAGCTGAATGCTCCCTTGCCAGCCTAAACACCAGACCTCTGCAACACAGTCTGTCCAGGTCTCTCTGCTATTCCCTTCGAGCATCTACTTCTTCCTCACTCCTCTGTGCATCCCTCAGTTCCACAGCTCACCTTCCTGACACCAGTCCAACAGAAGCAAACCAAGAAACTGCTCCTTCCCCTGTGGTAGACTCTGCCAATGTCCAAAGGACAGCAACCAGCAGTGGCCATGAACTAGCGCAGAGTAGGTCACAGCTGGCACACTGAGCTGGCACAGCTGAACTGAGCTGGCACATTCTACTTGTTTTCCTAGAACATGTAAGTATAAATAATAGATATATCACAATGGGTAGAAATAGATATAGATACACATGACACAGATATAGATGAAATAACAGTCAACTTTATTAACATAAGCTCTGGGATACCACATACCCATGGCTTGGGTACAGTGAGTACATTTTAAACTCTGATGCAATTTACCATCTTATCTCTTTTCTGTTTACAGCTCTAATGGGAAATCAGTTTCCTGGGCCCAGAATGAGAAAAGCACTAGAGGAGCACACCTTTGGCAGCGGTTGTCAGTCCATATCAACAAAAAAGAGAATCCCAACCAAACTGCAGTGATCAAGCCATTTCCTAAGAGCACAGACAGTAGCCGACACAGTAGCAGCGCTACGTTTCCCGAGGCCAGTGCCAAAACGCTTTATGATGTGTCAGAAGCAGAAGAGCAATACCCAGCTCAGTACCGGCCACAAACCCCCTCTCCTATCAGCACCTTGAGCCACAGAACTGCCTCTGTTAGCCGAACAGAAGATGATGCCCCCACCTTCCAGTCAGAGCCTCCTCAGCGAAGTAGCTCCTCTCAAGGCTCCCTCATGGAGCAGATCAGTAGCGTGGTTACTCGCTTCACGGCCAATATCAGCGAGCTGAACTCTATGATGCTTTCAACAGCCACTCCAGGGACAATGGTGGCCACTCCTCTCTGCTCTTCATACCTGATTCCACGGGAAATTCAGCTCCCTACAACAATGACCACATTTGCAGAGATCCAACCACTGCCTTCCATTGAAGTCAATGGCGCTTCGCAGTCAGCTAGGAAACCTTCAAATGGCAGCGTTAAAGAAGGCACTTCAGAAACCCCGTCAGCTAAGCAAGACCTCGAGGAGTTGGTAGCTTTAACTCCTCCTTCTCCTTTTAGAGACTCCATCGATTCTGGGAGTGCATCTCCCAGCTCTCCAGTTTCCGAATCGGCTCTCTGTATCCCATCCTCCCCAAAGTATGACACACTCCTTATCAGAGATTATACTCAAAGTTCTTCTTCGCTGTGAGTGCAGTTCAAGACAACATTGGATCTCAGTGACTACAAACAAGTAGTGAGAAGACAGCCAAGCCTTCAAGAGCTCCAGTGTTAACGAAGACAGAGTGAGAGGCATTGGGTCATCTTGTGGGAAACAGAGAGGAAGAACAGGAATTACTTGATAAGTGGAAACATCAGATTAATTATGCTGTTTTAAAGACAATGACTCTCGGCAGATTATCGTGGCCTTAAAAAAACATGGGCTTTTCAGAAACACTGAATCTATTTTTGAGGGCTTATAAGGAGTCTGTTAAATCAGTTACATACCAAGTGCTTTGCTTTAGTATTAAAACGAACCGTGTATATACGTATACCGTACAATATATGGGGCGGGAGGGGAAATGAGATTGTAAACAACTGTACAATGGTCTGTTTGTTTACTCTGATTCCTTACCTAGAAGTGAACCTTGATCTTTTATCAAGAATAGAAGACCAAACATTGAATGTACATTTTCTAACAGACTCAAATCTGGGACCAACCTGTCAAGCATTCTTTTTTTTTTTTTTTTTTTTCCTTTTTCTATGAAGATCTCAAAAAGCAGTAATGTATATTCAATAACTACCAAACTTTTTGCTGAAGCATATTGTGTCCGTGATACGTTACACGTGGATAACACTAAGCTGAGGCTTTGCAGTGAGTGACTGCAATATGGAGGGCTTTACAAGTGACTTCTCAACCTACACGTTTGTTTATGAAATTCTCTTCTATCAGTATCAAAAATTCGATTTGTTATCATTGGATTCATCTTCACAGCAACAAAACCCAAGGATGATTTCCTGACTATTTCACCATGTTGCCAACTAATAATGAAGTAGCAAAAAATATTTTCTGGAGTACTGTTTTGTAATACCCTTATCAGGGCATGTTGTTGAGGTGAATATTCTCTTTCTAGCAGCACTACCAAGCTATATTATAGCTGCACTCCTTAGTGAAATTAACACATTTTTATGGACGTTCTTATGTTAACATTACTAGTTGAAATATTTATTCGGGTTCCCATAATCTTTGCTTGTAAGGAACAAGTAAAGGCCCTTGATTTTCTCTATCCTTTGAATGACAGAATTCTAGGAGACCAACCTGGATTATGATGAATGCTGTCAGTGGAAAGGTCATCATAATAATTCACATATAGGCAAAAAAAACCCTGTGTCAAAATCTGCTTAGAGGTGATTTAGCTAATCTTTAATAAGGCAGAATTTTAACTTTATTTAGCTCCTGATGCCTTGCAGCTATGAACAGTGACAAAAAAAAAAAAAAAAAAAAAAGGAAAATAAACCACAACAACTTTCAAAGCAATACAGAGTAAGGGTTAAAACAGAGAAGACCTAATGAGATATGAACCAATAGATTTTTTCTTTGTTTCTTAGCAACTCACAGAAGAAGCAAGGGGATTCCTTGTATTTTTTTCCTATATCAAGGTAGTACAGTTTAGTGCACTTCATACTGTCACAGCACTTTTTTAATACAGATAGGGAAGAGTTTTAAAGTTTGAATAGAAGATAAATAATTTTTGATAGGTGTAGTTACAGAGAACTTATAAGTCAGGCCCTAAACGCACAAGGTATTGGCTCTCTCCTTCATGACATAGCTGTCCTCAGGTGCCAAACTTTTATGAATATATTTTATTTTATTTAAGAATAGTATGAAATGGTGAGTGATGTACTTCAATTTGAAGTTGAGTTGATATAGCCTTATCCAGAAGACTGCCTAATGGAAGGGAGCCTCGAAATATGGCTGCTGTTTTTCATTTTCAAAATCGTTAGATCTTATTTCTTTGAAGATAACAAAGATTTTCTAATCAAAATTAATTCACCTTTTTTCCCCCATGTCCAAAATAATAACTGTTTGATTAAACAAGTAAGCAAACAAACAAACAAACAAAAAAAAGCACATATTGTGAGCACATTCACATACTTGAGCAAAAAGCATGTTCTGTTTCTTTGGGAAGTTAATTTCACCATTATGTGCTGCACCCCAATTTGCTGCTCAACAACATTTACAAAAAAAAGTAATAGATGACTGAATCCAGGCTAGCACCTCACAGAGATACTCTAATGACTCTGTACATCCTGCACAAGGTAGTGTTATTTAATAGCAGTCTGTGGGCATGCTTATTTTGCTAGGTACAGTCGCTTACTAGCTATGCCTTTAGCATGAACCAGCAGGTCACAAAACAGCTCTACTCCAGAAAGCAGGTAGATACACCAAGTCTCTTGGTTCTTGTTGCTTATATGTAGCTCTTGCTGCCTCGCATGACTCATTAACTCAGACTCAGTTCTGTACAGCTGTACGATTTCCAGACCACAGCTTGGTTTTGCACTCCTGGTTCACAGTATTAGCATGTCTTATCATTCCCTAGCTGCTCATGTCCTTAGGAGAAAGCACCTTCTTGCACAGGTTACAACACACATTTAAGGGAAGGACATATCCAATCAGTCTATGACACAAACATTCACTTTTAGGCAGCCTAGACCACTTAAATGTTGTTAATGGAAGACTTGTATGATAATATATCTTTCCCATCAGTGCAATATTGTTTTGATATATAGAGAGATTACTAAGACAGTTTATGTGAAGTTCAAAGTTGTTCTATTACTATCTGTTCTCTTATACTTTAAGCTGTTGTTCAGTGTCCTTACTAGAACATACTCCACCTTGATCTTTACCTAGCCTTTTAGGTTCCCATTTCCATAGTCTTCTCTTATGCTGGTGGGCAATTAATATTAATGTATTCCTGCTAAAATCTGTGGGCTATGAAATAACCAAGATTGAAAATAAGAACTAAACAGACACACATAAGAATCTATTCTTGGGGAAAAAAAAATAATAAAATAAAATAATAATAATAATAATAATAAAGTAAAAGGAGTGAGAAATAGAAACTGTCAAACAGTGACTTGGCATAAATATACCTCTTCTGCTCCCAAACTGCAATTCTGCACAATCCTGACCATATCTATTACTCAGAGCTTCCTGACAACCTTCATATATTGCCAAGATTATACATACGTATATGAGTACAAGCACACACACACTTCTCAGTCTAACACCTGAATACATGCTTTGAGAGGCTAAAAAACTAATGTTAAATACCCCAAATATTAAACACTTTTGCTCACTCTTGCTTTGGGAGGGGTCATGCAACTTTTGAATATCCACTAGCCAAAGCAGAAATTATAATTGCATGAGGAATTAAAGAAGGATCCTGCTGAGATTGGACCTCCCTGTTGCCAGTCTATCTTTAATGAAAGATAGGTCTGCTTTGGTAGCATTTAAAAAGGCAGAATCCATTTCAATTGCACAGGCTGGAATGTGTCAGTGTCACCGTGTATGGTATCTATGGATTTCATCAAAGGAAGGAAAGTTTCTTTTGGCAAAAAAAAGAAAAGAATTATGTAATGACTGTGGTAGTAATTCAAAGGAGCTCAGTGGAAATTTGAGAGACTGGAAAAGCCCTTTGATAGAACTCAGTGGATTTGACACAAGAAAGGAAGAAAATTGTGAATGACAGACACGATTTCATGAGGCTGATTGTGTTCTAGTCTCTGTTTAGGACATTAAGATATAAAGGCAAGGTTTTTCAGCCATAGCAGCAAAAGTTAGAATTATGATCACTTTTTAATCTAACTAAAGATTTCAGATCTAACTAAACAAGTACCAACTGACTGGCTTGAAATTGCCTTCTAATTCAGTGCTGCTGCCAGAAAGGGAATGAAAGGAGTTGAAACTATTGTAATTATTGAACACAGGGACCTCAGAGAATCAGTGATATTTTTTGTGCTTGAGACCAACCCAGAAGAGTGAAGGTAAAACCACCTCTGCAATATGTGCTTTTAAACTAAAGTGAATCACTCTGGCAGACCAGTTGGGAAGAAGCATTAGCAATACTGAAGAACTGCATTTTTTAATTGGCTCTGAAGAATAATTGCATTACTTTGGAGATGTGCTTCCTTGTACTTCTTTCTGAACATTTGGTGCCTAGACTCAAACAGATACCTTAGACCAGAGATATTTAGACCATGATCCACAGAGCACTTGCTGATGTTTCAGGAAAACTTGGTTGATCACAAGGTGCTGGCTTCTTCCACTGATTTCCGACTAAAAAAATGAATTAAAAATTAAATGCTAATTAAAAATTGACTGTTAAAAATTTTAAAAGAAAAAAAAAAATATCTTGCTTGGATGTTTATTCAGTGGCTGTGTTCGCAAAAAGAAAACTTTGTGATCAAAACTGGGAAAATAAGATCTCCAGAGAGTAAATGGGAAGGACAACCCATAATTCAGACTCCAGAAGATAGCAGAGTTCACCTGGCTATGTTTTCTTTAGAGAGGCCAAGACTAAACTGAAAGACAGCATGACTGTGGGTGTAAATTCCGTAAAGTGTGCAACTTTGCTGTCCTGATTAATACATTATTTAGGAGGTAAGATGGAAAAAACACATGGCAGCAAAAGACAACATTCAGAAAATGTTGGGTCCTTAGGAAAATGAGATCATTATGCTCAGGATGAATAATGTGAACATGACTTTTTTATTGCATTGGAGACCAGTGTCATGGCTTAGCCCAAAAAAAAGACTTTGGTACCTAAATTTAGAATTTCAGCAGAATTTAATACCTACATTTAAAACTCAACTTTAAAACCACTATTCAACTGCCATCTTACTCAGGCATCTAGCATTTTATGTTCAGAACTGCCCTGATCTTGACACATTTGGTTATCTTTGCCCCCAGCTCATTCTAAAACGCATCAGGGATCCAGAAAACAGCAGTTCCTACACTAAATCCCAGTATATCCCATGAATGAGTACACAGAGTGCTCAGCACAGAGGCAGACAGGATCATACACCCTACAAAATGGAGAAGAAATCACGCTTTGTTTTAGGGCTGTGGGACTGGTTATGCTGCTCTTTTTCTAATAACCTTGAGGTTAGATCAGTCAGGCAGAAGGCAAGATACTTAAATTTGGACCT